TTTGGCAAGCTTGCCATTGTTCTATTGTGGTGCCTACGAGCTACGAGCACTTAGGGCCTATTCTCTCCATAATAAGGACTGCAGTTTCAGGCCTATCCTATTTCATGTACTGGTATTACTAAAAAAAAAAAAAAAAAATATCCAACCGACCGACCGACCTTCGATCTCAATTTTTTCCATTTAAGGCCAACATTTCTTCACCGCTCAGAAATACGTCAAGTAGTATTCACGACATATTATGGTGACAGCGGTAGTGGTTCTACTGCATGACATGTCATAGTAGCAGCTGTGGTCGTGTTCTACTGTAACCAAGGATTTATATATCGTTTTGTTCAACGAACTGTATGAATTTTATACAATTGCATTATAGGTAGTCTGTAATTTTTTATACAGTGGACATTGACTAATCTTTATATTTTTAGCAGTAGACTTGTGAACGTATCGGTAACCACGATTTACTAGTAACAATCCCCTCGTCCAGATTTAATTATGGCTCAGTGGTAGATCCAGTCTACAATGTTTTTGGTTTGACGTCATACTAATCTATAAACGAAAGTGCGTTCTTCAGGCCTATCGGTTCATTAATCCATGGAAGAAAGACTACGTATCCAACTAGGCCTACTCAATATTGATGGAATATAATAACATATTGCCTATGTCTTTGTTTTTTTTTCTTTATGTGTAGGCCTAAGAATGAGATAAAAATCATCTGACTTTTTTTAAGTGAGGGAAAACCTTGAATTTTTTAGAAATAAAAGGTCGTTAAAAGACACCTCAGAAGTTGGGAAAGCTCATTTCCGGCCATCTAGAAATCAAAATTTTCCCGGACCCCCTTTCATTTTTAGTTTTTTGGAACATTTTTTAACCCCACTCTTTCAAATCCTGGATCCGCCCCTGTGGCTGATGGAAAATCCACAACAAGATCCAGTAAGGAGTATCAAGGAGACGACAACCATGACACAGATTCAGTTGCAACATTCGAAACAATGCTGATCGATAAGCAAAGGGAAAGTGATGACAAATGTCTTAAAGACATTACGAAATTGAAGGAGATTCAGATTGCAAAGTTGTCTGAGGGTGATGATATTGAGAATTACCTAACCACATTTGAACAAATCGCTAACACCTACGAGTGGCGTAAGGAGCACTGGGTGGTGAAATTGATCCCTCACTTGACGGGCAAAGCACCAGCGCCTTATGCAGCACTACCGGTGACAGATAGAAATGATTATGACAAGGTAAAAGAAGCTATGTTACGAAGGTATGATATTACAGAGGAGACATATAGACAGAGGTTTAGGGCAATTAAATAGGAAACTGAGGAAAATTATAGAAACATGTATGTAAAGTTAAAGGATTTATTTTCCAAGTGGGCTAAACCAGGAGATAAAAGTAAAGATGATTTGGCAGAAATAGTCATTTTAGAACAATTAGTAGAAATTATGCCCACAGGGGTGCAAATTTGGGTTAAAGAGCATAAATCTAAATAGGGCTTAAATGCTGCAGAACTAGCAGATAATTATTTTCAGGCTAAAAAAGGTGTATAATTTGACAGGAGGTTTCAACCTCGAAATACTGATAGTAGATATAATCAGGCAAAAACTGATAAGGGTACTGCTCGTTTGTAGAGGTTGCAAGAAAGTAGGTCATATTGAAAGGCGCTGTTGTAAAGACGCCTTCTTGTCAAGAAAGACAGATAATGTGCAACATACGTCTTACCATTGTAGAGGCCTAGTGGAAGGATGTGATAGTGACATTTTGTTAGATTCTGGATGTGACATGACATTTGTCACAAAGGTCTGACTACTTTTCCGTACTATCCACAATCAGATGGATTGGTCTAAAGGTTAATGGTACTTTAAAATCCATGATTAGGAAGTTTGTTGAGGACAATTCCTGAAAATAGGACAATATGCTTCCGTATTTTTTTGTTAGCTTATAGGGAAGTTCCACAGGATTCTACAGGGTTTTCCCCATTTGAGTCGTTGTATGGTTGGAAGGTGCGGGGTCCACTTAATGTAATGAAAGAAATGTGGACGGGTACAGTGACAGGCTCTTAGAGCGTTGTGTCACACGTTAAGATAGATAGATTAGCCTCGATGAAAGATTTATTAAGGGAAAACATAGAGCAGGCTCAGAAATAGCAGAAACAAACATGATCACAAATCTGTTCATAGGGAGTTTAGTCCAGGTGATGAAGTTTTGTTGCTATTATACCATCTGTTAGCAATGCGTTAGAAACAAAGTGGCAGGGTCTGTTCAGCCGTCCCGAGGCATAACAAAATTTTTTGAGATAATATCATTTGGGAGTATATTAAACCCATCTGAATGACCTGGGAAAATGTCAGGTCTCAATAATGAATCGTTTCTGAGATAGCACTCCCTATCTTTAAGCACAAAACTTAAAATCTAGTGATTTTTCGTGGCAAATTAACATACTACAAGATTACGCGGCAAAACAATGTATCTGCGATGAAGATACGTTGTTTTGCCACAGAATGGTATTCAAAAATTATCTTGATCAAATGGAGTTTGGGAAGGCAAAATCAAATAGTTATTGGTGTTTTTATATCAATAATTTTAACAGCGATGTATGAACAAGCTAGGTATATGCATAATTGCCCCAAACGTGATATATTCAAAAAATATGTCACACTTGCAACAATACAGACCCTGACATGTTTCCGAGGCAAAACAACGTATCTGTAATTATCGCTAATAACTTTGCAATAAACAAACGGTTGTAATTAAAATTTTACATATAATCACAATGTCTATAGATATGTAATCCTGCAAAATTTCAAAGTTACAAACATACAAGCTTTAACTCTATTTTTTTCCAAAAGTGAAAATTTACATTGTTTTGCCACGGAACGGCCGCGTACAAGATTTTAAGAAAGATGGGTCCAGTTTAATGAGGTAGAAACTAGTGACAAACTAAAAAAAGGCAAATGTTTGCCTAACAACCTCCTTAAGAAATTTAATCGTAGACCAGGTATGAAGGCTGCTATGATAGCTATAACTGATGTAAGTGGACAGAAAGATGCTCATAGGATAGGGATGTCACTTGATCGAAGGGTCTTCGTTCAAATTTGGATTTAGATTATGAGGATGGGTTGGAGGAAGCACAGCTTCAAGATTTAGCTGAAGTGTTTTCAGAGTATGAGTTAGCGTTGCAGGATAGGCCTGGGAAAACTGTCATGATAGAACATGATATTGAAATAGAACAAGGAGTGCATCCAGTTAGACAAAAGGCTTATCTAATTCCACAGGCTAAGATAGATAAAGTACGGGAAGAGGTAGAATCTATGTTGGAACTTGGGGTAATAGAAGAGTCTAACAGTTCTTGGTCTTCTCCTTACCTAATGATACCAGAGCCTGATGGAACAGCGCACTTTTGTTTAAATTACAAGAAAGTTAATAGCTTGAGCAAGTTTGATGCATATCCTATGCCAATAGTAGAAGAGATAATAGGTAGATTTGGTACAGCTAAGTTCATTACATTACTAAGTTAGATTTCAGGGGTGTATCCAGGATTTTTTCTGGGTGGGTCGTGATCATAATTTTTGGACCTTTCAGAGGGAGATAGGAAAATCGATTATAGCGCCACCAGCTTGAAGCGGATGGCAGGCTCAGTTTCAGAATTTGTGGAATTGAGATAGATTGTGTCACGCAATTGGAAAGGTCTTTGGACGTATTGCTGGTACCTAATCATTTATGTCATTGTGAAAAGGCCCTAGAAAAAATGTAGAGTTACATCGCGATGCGAAGATCGAAGATGTGTATAAGAGACAGATGATACTGTGATCTTTAGCCCAGATTGGGAAAGTCATGTCCATCATTTCAGAGAAATATTCCAGACCCTCAAGCAGGCCAACTTGACTGTAAAATCTAGCAAGTGTAGTTTTGCACATAGCAAAGTGCATTATTTGGGATATGTAGTAGGAGAGGGGATGGTGCGACCTCAATAAGCTAAGAGGCGGTATTAAATTTGGAGCAACCAAAAACTAATCTTAAATCTTTCCTTGGGTTGACAAGGTAATACTGTATGTTCATCCCTAACAATGCCGACATTGCTTCTCGTCTGACTGATTCGACGAAACTGAAATTGCCAGAAAAGATTAAGTGGATGCCTGATTGCGAGGAGGCATTTGTAAAGCGGAAAACAGCATTGTGTTCTGGTCCTGTTTTAAGGAACCCAGACTTTGCATCACATCGGGGGTTAGGTGCAGTGTTCAGTCAATTAGGTCCTGATGGTACTGGCCATCCTGTGTTGTATCTTAGTCGTAAGATGCTACCAAGGGAGCAAAATTATGCAAATATCAAGAAGGAGTGTTTAGCCATAAAGTTGGCAGTAGACAGCCTACAGTATTATCTGTTGGGTAGGAAATTTAAGATAGTGACTGATCATCAGTCACTATAAAAATGGCTGAATGAAATGAGGGACACCAACAAAAGACTCTCTTGATGGAGTCTCGATTTGCAATCTTATTGCTTTACAAATTACAGTGGTGCATAGAAGGGGTATTTCCAACAGTAATGCTGACGTTCGTCTCCCGTAACTTAATGTTAGCACAGTTTATACAGTGAATGTGTTTGAAAAAATAAAAAGCAAACAAATAGTTGTTTGAAATACAGTATGGCTATTACAATTGTAAGAATTGTATAATATAAGTTGTATAATAGTTTGGCCCACTTACCCATATTCATGTCCACTCCTGATATGTACAGTGACGTTTTTCCTTGCAAACATATTTTGTTGATAAAATTAATTTTACCTTATAAATGCATTGAAGATAACATATTTTCTATCAAGATATTTGTGTGTGAAAGAACTACAGAAACTAATATGTTAATCAAGCTGAATGAAAAGAGTACATGCAAGTGTGCTGCTGTTTAATTTAATAAAGATATTCTGCTATGGTGGTAGTTTTTGATTGAATGCTTTTATTATAATTTGCACTGGCTTTCATCATGCAAATTATTTCACCTCTTTTCAGAAACAGGGAAGTTGAATATCAAAGTTGTTCAAGTAGACCAATATGATTGATGAAGTGGACCAAAGCTTCCCCCTGCAACAGACAAATCTAACTTTCCCCAACCGACAGAAACATCAAATGATAGAAACAGATAAACCAGTAGACTCTGACAAGCAAGCATTCACTATTCACTTTTGTGGAGACAAAGAAAACCAACATGAGCAACAAAGTAAGTCAGCAACAAGTTTACAGGATGCCTTCAAGCAGTTCCGTAAGATTAGACAGGTAAGTAGTAACAAACCTGAAATTAGCTATAAAATCTATATTGCTGTTTAGTTTTTAGAATTTTTGGTGTCTGCTACAGTACATTTTCTATGACTTTGCTCTTGAAAAATAAAAAGCTACTGAAATTACACCACAGATGTGTGAAATATTGGTTTTTTGTAGAGGATAGAGCATACTATCAACCCATTTTTAGTTCCTATGCATGTAATGCAATAGGAACTATTGTAATCACTCTTGCTATTTCCTATGTTTTTTATTGTGTGTAGTGTGTATGTGTGTGTGTAGACATTTATGCAAATGCGCATGAAAAGTTTTCCGACATTTTGTTTTACATCGCGATGCGAAGATCGATGTGAAGTTTCTGCAGAGTTCAGTCAGGGCTCACGCTAACCGACCGGAATGTCGGCATGGATGAAACTATTTTGGTTTTAC